TTTTACAAGATGTTGAAGAAAAAAACAGTAGAATTGACTTTTAGAGATATTCCTTTTTTTGTCAGTGGAGTCAGGGAAGTTCCCCCAGGTGGTATAGAGCTGCACATTGGCTTCCTTTATGCACCTGAGCAATGTGGTGAAAAATCCAAGTTCCCAATTAAGCAAATGCATGTTCCTGCCAGTTGCTATTACCAGTGGTGCATAACACATATGATGACTTTAAAAAAGATGTCACCTTTGCATTTACAAATGCCAAGGGATATGGATATGCCTAATGTTTTGAAACTCTTCCCCAGTCTTTGAAATCAACCGAGGTCCTAATACTGTTCTTGTTCATGTTTAATTGAAAGGGTAAATGCAAATTAATAAGAATGTCACCTTTGCATTATTTTTTACGTACTAGGAGATAATTAATGATGTTTTAAAACAGCTCAGTCTTTCGAAAACTAAGGTTGCGATATCGTTCTTGCTCATGTTTAAGTGAAGTAATTGGATGTGAATAAAGTTTCACTTTACCATATTGCATCTGTAAAAGAGTAGAGCATCTGTTGAGAAATACAAATGCCCCATCAAAGTAATCACAAGTTGTACTTTTGTGTACAACCAACTTTCCAATCTTGTTTGCACTTAAAGTAACCCATAGGATGTATTATATATCATCTGAAAAATTGGTGGAAGTCATTTCAATCTGCTGCTTTACCGTAGTACCATTGGACTGTACTAAAATGTCCCAGACTGACCTATTGTAATACTTGCATTAAACGTTGGAAAAGTGTTAATACCTCTCTCCAGTTTGTCGGACGGTGCAAAATTTAAACTCTCCAGCCCATAATTAGAATACTCCAGAAAAATGTTTTCTTCTTCGTCTGTTGTGCAGCACACAGCCATATCGTCCAGTTGTTGTTTTGTAATGGGACATCTGAAATCTTTAAACCCACTGTTCTCTGGAATGTACAAAAGCTCATCAGGCCTACCAGGGACTGTATTGTGACGTGATTTTCGAATGTAATGGGTGTTCCAGTGATCCCTTACATGATCTAGGTCCGCCTGCAAGATATCTCTAAAACAGAACAACAAACAGAACATACTTAATTCCCTTGCATTATCAACAATGTTTGTTTCAACTAAGTCTTTAAGAAAATTAATCCACCACGTTGATCTGTCATGCCATTAAAATGACCACCATCCTTCAATGCGCTGGTTTGCTGGGGATGATCCGTACCTATGCGCATTTAATCCAGCTTGGCCGTCGTTAGCATTTCCCCGAAAATAACACTGCATGGCCGCCATGGTCACATTTTCAGCCCCACAGTCTGTTCGAAGAACTCTTGGGCAACCTCTGTTTGATTAAACACAATCGTAAAACAATGAAGGTACGTGGCATGGGTCATTATTCGAGGGGCAAATTTTCAAGCACATGACTCGACGACTGAAACTGTCCTCTGCACCATGAATAGGAAAGCCATATGGCTTTAAATAATCGTTGCCGTCAACGTGCCAAGCAAAATTCGGGCCTGGGTTAGTGTATGACCTTCTTAGTGTATGAACCCTCCCCAAGGCTGTTCCTTTAGGGTCAACTTGTTGTAAAATCCCTTCCACCTTTCTTCTTGGTGCTTGTATTCCATAATACAAACGAAGGGTGTGCCACAATCTCGATAACCCCTCCTGCAGCCTGGCCCGTCCAACTCTTGTTGAATGGCCTGATAAATTTCGGCATCGTCACTGTTCGCATTCCTTCTTCTTAATTCGCACTCGCGAAGTCTATTGTACAAATTAACGTACGCATAGACATTTCTGTTGCATTGTGCTTTTCTAAAAAGAGTATAAATATATATATATATATCTTATTGGACGTTTTGTTGTGTAGTATCGCTGA